ACTCCATTTCAGGTTGCTAATTCCAGCACTGAAACGTTACTAAATAGGGATCAACTTGTTAATTTGCTGGTTGAAAACTGAATAAATACAGGCGCGCACCAGAACAGCCAGTGCGATCATGCGTTTTGCGCAGTCTCGCTCAGCGAGTGTTTGCCTGCTAAGGATTCTCACTGCTTTGCACTTGATCTGTGTAAAAAAAGCTGAATGCTGTCTGTTTTCTAAGTTGCGAAATTTCCCACTCAAAATTTCACCCACCGGTACGTGAAAGCTGAATTCGAAATTTTGGACGATCAATATCCTTCCGAAACCTCCGCCTTCTAATTTTCTGGCTTTCTGGTAATTTCTGTGCCAAAGCTTCCACGTGGTTGTACATGAAACCACGCCATACTTAGGAACTGAATTTGAGTTTGTGAAGCCCTTGCTTAAGCAGAGAATCTTTTGAAATCTTCAGCCTCCTAGCTTTTCCGGCTCCGAAGATAATGGATCCTCCCGCCAAAACTTTCACGGGAATGTTGGGGCCCAGGCATACGTGAAAGTTGATTTTGAACCTGTGAGGTCGTACAGGGGCAGGGACGCTACTCTAAAATTTCAGGTTCCTAGCTTTCGCAGTTCATGAGATAGGGTGCGAGTGGGGAGATGCGGGATTGGTCGCGGGTGGAGGGAGGCGGAACTAGCTGCCGGTGAAGGGCGGCGGAACTGGGGGAGGTTGGTGGGCAGAGTGCGCGAGGATAGCCGAGGAATTAGCTGTGGGTGCGAGGTGGGGCGGAACCGGCTGCCAGTGGAAAGCGCGGGACTGGCTGCCAGTAGAGGGCAGTGGGAGAGGATGTGGGTGGAGGACGGCGTAACTGGGTACCGGTGGGGAGAATGCGGAGCGACGGCGAGATACGATGCCGGTGGAGGGTGAAGGCTTCAAGTCCATTAACTGCCTGTTTCCATCCCCACTGACACTCTATCTTCGCGGAGGATTACGGATCAATTCGCGGAGTATTACGAAGTTCGCGGGAGGCAAGTTGGGGGCGAGGGGAGGAAGGGGGGAGATGACCCCTGGCGGGGAGTTCCTTTAGCGCGCACTTTCACAGTCCCTGGGATAATAATTTCCCCACCGAAACTTTTATGGGACCGCACGTAATACCGGGTCTCCGGAAGGCTGAGTTCACAGCGTCGCACGCTGGGGGAGGGAGGGAAGGGAACATTCCCCTAAATTCTCAGCCTCCTAATTTTTGTCGTTCCTGAATTGAAATAATTAGTTAATTAGTCCTGAATTGAAAGTTGCGGACAAAGTGTATAGGACACACACATATACACAGACAACCCCGTGACAGTATGCGTTTTGTGCAGCTACTGCACAGCACAAAACGTATAAAAAGAAAGATGGACTTATGGAAAGCTATTAATCACGACAGAAAAAAAAACCATCAATAAAATAAAAATAGTGATTCAGGACAAATGAAAAATAATAAAAATGAGGTTATAACGTATTAGCCTGGCGAGCGCCCAAATCACTTACGATTCGCAGATGACATAGCTCTCATTGCAAGCAGCACATGAAGAATGAGCTAGTGCAGGAATTCAACACATGAAATCCGAGAATGTGCTTAAATGCAGCAACAGAAAATTTAGAATTTTTCATACAACTGACAAAGAGATCTCGTACCTTGATTGATGAGCCAACAATCGACGGAGCCAGCGAATTTGAAAAAAGGTACGGTCGGGATCGCTGTCGCAAGAGGTCGATTAGTGCCTTGGGCCCGGTCGAATAACCACCCATTGCTCCTCCGAGAGCTTTTCCGAGTGTCGAGTTGATAACATCGACTCGTCCCTGGACGCCAAGCTGTTCTTCCGTACCCCGACCAGTTGGCCCAAAAAAGCCTACGACATCAAATGATAACAGGACTCCAGTTGTTGCTTTGGTGGATAACTTTTTTTGAACTGCTTCTCAATGTTGAAATGGCTGACATTATTCAAAAGCTACATGTGAGGCCTCAAGCAGTTCCTGTACCTGTGGCATGGCATTCATCAACGAAAACGATTGCTTTGTATTTGTCTGCTAAATCGCAAATTTCCTTCAGCGGAGCCACATCGCCATCCATACTAAAAACTCCATCCGTAGCGATCACACGTCGTCTGCTACCTAAAAAGCGGCCATAATTACAGAACTAGATGAGACAACTGAAATGTTGATCTTGCAAATTTCCTTTAGAAAGAGCCCATTCATCTGCCATCCATGCAAAAAAAAGTCATTTGTCATGCATTCATGCCGGATAATTGGACAACCATCAACCCTAACGCAGGCCCAGCACCACAAAGATCAAGAGGCCTTACCGTACTTTCCAGGATGAGCCTTAATTGAGGGCACCCTTCCAGTTTGCCATATGTGAAGTACATATTCAAGATAATACAATCCTTAATTCCGACACTGACAATCCGAACTGTCTTGGTTAGCATTCGTAAGGCTATCTCTGTTTCAGTAGAGTGAATGAAACATCAAGTGCTTACTTTGTGTTTCCTTCAGAATACGTTCCAGATCACCCAGATCGACATGCCTGTAACGATAACGTTTCGCTTTGCATAGGCGTACACCATCAATTATGGAAGCATGGTTGAGCTCGTCTGAGATTACTGCATCCTGGTCGTCTGTAGAATAGAAAGAGATGAGCAAAATTTATTAGATGCAGTTGAAGTCAAAACACCTCGCCATTTTTATGCGTTTTTTTGCAGCAATGCAATGCGAAAAACGCATATTGATGAGAGGTTGTCTGTGTGTGTGTTTGTGTGTGTGTGTGTGTGTGTGTCTGTGTGTGCGCTGGACCTCTGTACCGATTTTTCATCTCGAGACC